TTACCAAAACGTCTGGTGAAAAAAAAAAAAAAAAAACTTGGAATGAGCCTGACCAAAGACATCAGCGATCCATCTCTCAAGTGCTGGGATCAACAGCGGCATGCGCCACCACATCCGGCGAAAATTTTAAATCTTTAAAGAAAGCGATTGAGGAAGACACCAGAAGATGGAATGACCTCCCATGCTCATGGATTGGAAGAATTAATACTGTAAAAACATCCATCCTACCAAAAGCAATATATAGATTCGATGCAATCCCAACCAAAATCCGCATGACATACTTCAGAGAATTAGGGAAAAAAAAAAAAAAAAATTTCCTTTAATTCATAGGGAAACACAAAAGACCCCGGATAGCCAAAGCAACCCTGAGCACAAAGAGCAACGCTGGGGGTATTACTATACCAGATGCCAAAGTATACTACAGAGCTATGGTCATAAAAACAGCATGGTACTGGCACAAAAATAGACACGACACGTAGATCGATGGCACATCATGGAAGACCCAAGCCTGAGCACACGCCATTTCAGCCACCTGATATTTGACAAAGGTGCCAAGAACATACAATGGAGGAAAGACAGCACCTTCAACAAATGATGCTGGCAAAGCCGGATCTCCACCTTAACATCCAGAATACATAAAGAACTCAAAAAACAATCGAGAAAGCAAATGACCCAATTAAACAATGGGCTAAAGATCTAAACAGAGAGTTCTCAAAAGCAGAAATAAAGATGGCTAAGAAGCATCTTAAAACATGTTCAACATCGTTAGTAATTAGGGAAATGCAAATTAAAACCATCTTAAGATTTCACTTTACCCCAGTCAGACTGGCTAAGATCAAGAGAACAAATGATACCCAAATGCTGGCAAGGATGTGTGAAAGAGGATCTCATTCACTGCTGGTGGAATTGCAAACTCATTCAACCCCTTTGGAACAGTGTGGAGAACTCTTAAAAAACAATAAAAATGAACCTACCATATGACCCGGTTATACCACTCCTTGGCATATACCCAAAGGACTCACCGTACTGCAGACACACTTGTACAACCATGTTTGTTGCTGCTCTTTTCACAATAGCTAGGAGATGGAAGCAACCTAAGGGCCCCTCAACCGACGAGTGGTTAACGAAAATGTGGTACGTTTACGCCATGGAGTTCTACTCAGCAGTAAAGAAAGATGAATCAATGAAATTTGCAGGTAAATGGATGGATCTAGAAACTGTTATACTAGACTCAGAAAAACAAAAGACGTATGTTCTCCCTCATTTGTGGATCCTAGCACCAAATCCTCATAAGTTGAGTGCATATCCAGCTGCACGAACCAGGAATATGGAAAGGAACCAGGGAGGTAAAGGAAAAGAAGAGCTCAAGAGAGGTAGGACCGTAGGAGAAAGGTGTTACTAAGGGAGGAAATATGTGAAAAGGGGTAGTTAAAGGGGAAGGGGGAAGGATGGCTGTAAAGAGAACTATGGGAACAGAGAGGGAAAAATTCTCCTGATACACAGTTCAAAGAAAAATGCATTAAGCAGTGGAACATACATTGGTATCGTAGACCAGGCCAACCCCGTGGCAGAGGAGAATATAGGCCCCAATAGGAAGCCACTGCAATTGTTTTCTTAGATGGATGCAATGCACCTGCTAAAGTATGTTCCAAGCGTTTGTGTTTACATCCAAAGTTAAGTTATGGCAACCACTGTTTAGATGTTTTTTCTTCTTGCTGATTATGTTTTCACAGTAGACAGAATCCCACTGAAATGGGCCAGTAGCCCATGGAAAACAGATGATGCAGAGACCCAAAAGTTCAGTGCCTTGGCACAATGGGAGGAAGATCATCCTACACTTATCCCTTACAAGGCTGGGGGCTTTTTAGGATGTAGTTGGCAGAAGAAATGTAAGAGTCAGCAGAAGGGGTGGAGTTTTCCCTGGAGGTGTCTTCTGACCGCTGCACCAGTATGCTGTAGTCACACCTCCATCCCATGCTAGTCAAGAAGTCTATGGGGAATCAGTGGCCCCTTCCACCCAATCAGTTGATCTTAGCTGCATGTAGAGGAGGGGCTAAGGATATACAAGCCAAGATTGCCATAAGGCACCTCTCTCACCATTTTGTGCTGCTGTCAGGAAGTCACAGGATCTAAATATGAGCATCAACAGAGTAGATGAACTTACTAGCAAGACACAAAGATAAGCAGGCAAAAACAGAAGCATTTGTTCCTGAGTTTCTCACATAGAGGCTGTTGCTACCAGAAGCTGCCGTACATATTTAAGGTGTTTTTACATTTTCATTAACCTAATGAAGAAAATCCCTCACAGGATTG